ACCTAGATGCCCGTGTGTGGGTGCACCTGCAGGCCAGCTCACTGACTGGAAACTGTGCCTGGGCATGTCTGTGAATGTGTACTGGCCTCGTTGCAGTGCTAATGTGACCTGTGATCCCTACAAGGATCATTCAGTGTCCCCATTTGATGACAGACTTCCTTCAGCCCTCAGAAGAGGAGAGGAGGAGGGTCATGGACAAGCTGGCTTCCTGTGAACCTCAACCTCAAGTTTGATTCACCCCCCCCCAGGCAATTCCCTCTGGACTCGTTGCATATGCCTTCAGGAAGTAGGAGTAAGCCACATTTTAAAGGGGAGAAAACTATAACAAGGGAAGTCGAAATAGCCCCTTTTCCAGAAGACTGGCCGCAGGCGAAGGTGGCTGAGCAAGGGGGCACAGACGGCCACCTCAGACTCAGCCAGCCAGTGAGTGACCCCTGAAGAAACAAACCCAAATGCAGCTTCCTCTGAGACCAATCCCATTCTTCAGTGAGAGCAGCGGTTCTCAACCTTCTTATGCTGTGACCCTGTAACACAGTTCCTCATGCTGTGGTGACCCCCCATAAAGTTATTTTGTTGCTACTTCATAACTGTAATTTTGCTACTGTTATGAATCATGATGTAAATACCTGATATTTCTGATGGTCTAAGAAGACCCCTGTGAAAAGGGTCATTCAACCTCCAAAGGGCTCACGACACACAGGTCAAGAACTGATGAGTTGGAGGGACACACACCTTTCCCAATCCTAGAAACCCTTGGATCATCCTATACCATTTTCACTTTGTCCCAGGTACCATCTGCATAATTACCTCCCATTTTGCTTTAAAACTGGCTGGCTTTATATTACCTTTTCTGGGGAGAGAGCGACACATCCACTCCTGCAAAGGAAACCAGAGCGGCCTCCCTTTCCAGAAAGAGAAGAAAACCCTAAAATAAGTACAATGCAAACAGAACAATGTTACTGAATTCCAGCCAGATGCTGCCGCCTGCCAAGGGCTCGCAGCCTGGACCGTGGGTTCTTGTTGTTCCCAACACAATAAAGCAACAGATGAGATTCGCAGGTGGCTGTGGGGCACCATAGACCATCCCCCTGAAGCACCTGGGATGGAGACACACAGACCCCAGTGACCAAAGACAAACACCTGTCCTCAGTAACTCTCACCCCCATGTGCACTCTGGGCACCACCTAAATTCCACTTCCCCAGGCTGGTGACTATGGTGGGCAAATGTTGGTGTATCGCCAACATCACGGCGGGACCTGCTAACTTTGGGGAGGAGGCTGAACTACGAAACACAGCCCTGATTCTGCATTGGTGCTGGGTCTCACCCAACCAGGCTGAGGCTTCCTCTGACTGCCTGGGCCATCACCATGGCAACATGAAGCTGCTGCAGCACAGTCAGTCAAACTTCCTACTGAGTGTCCCAGTGTGATGTGGGCTCCTTCAAGACCACAGCAGCCACCAGTTACAGAACAAGCCACCTGGGCTGCTAATTACATAACCTCTCAGGTGCCACACACACCTGCATCCTACTCCCTCCTCTCCTGTGACAATGAAGTTTCTTTTAGGCTCAAAAGCAGAGGAGGGCACTGCTCTGTTCCTGGCTGTAATTAACTCCAAAAGTATGTGTTCTTTTACAATGGAACAAACCTCTGTGTAGTCTCCTGGGGAGTCTCTGAGGTGGAGATTGATACTGGATCCTGAGGTTGATAATAAGGTGGGGTATAGGCTCTTCTGATCTCTGGAAATCTCAGCCCCCCCATCTCTGGGGTGTGTGTGTGTGTGTGTGTGTGTGTGTGTGTCTGTCTGTGTCTGTGTGTGTCTGTGTGTGTATGTGTCTGTGTGTGTGAGTGTGTATGAGTGTGTGTGAGTGTGTGTGCGCGTGTGAGTGTGTGTGTGTGTACCTGTGCACAGGTATGTGGGAGCCAGAAGTCACCCTGGGATGTTGCTCTTCAGGTGCTGACCCCCTTGTTATGAGACAGGGTCCCTGTGTGTGTGTGTCTCCCTCTCTGTCTCTCTCCATCTCTCTGTCTTTGTGTGTTTCTGCCTGTCTCTGTGTGTGCGTCTCTATTTTTCTTTGTGTTTGTCTCTCTTTGTATCTCCCTCACTCATACACAAACACATACACACATGCATGTGCACACACATGTGTACATACACGTGTGCACACACATGTGCGCGTGAACACATGTACACCCCACAAACACACTCGCACACACGTGCATACACACGCACACACACATGTACGCATACACACACATTAGCCTGGAACTTGAAGACCAAGCATGATGGCTGATCCTGGGTGTCAAGCTAACTACATCTGGAATCAACTAAACCCGAACTGCTGGGCCTTCCAAGGAGGGATCTTCCTGAAGATTTCCTGAGGCAGGGAGACCCACTCTACACCTGTGCTAGATCTTCTTGTGGCAGCTCAGATGAAGGGACACAGAGGAAGGCAACTTTGCTCTTTGCCTGTTCACCCTTACTCTCACTGGCAGAATCATCTGTCCTGTTGCTGTAGCTGGTATTAAATCCAGCTTCTTCTAGATTCCAACATGGTCTGAAAACCAGCAGCCCTCCAGGAATCCTCCAGGACTCCGGCACCAGACTGGGACAGCAGAGACACCCAGCCTCGTGGCCTGAACAGCCACCAGATTCGCAGCCTCCAGTCAGGAGACAGCCGCTGTTGGACTGCCCTGACTGCATGCCGAGTCACTCTAATAAACTCTCTTAATATACATGTTCATCCCGTCATTTCTCCTCCTTCAGAGAACCCTGACTAATACAGAGGAGGCCCTGGCTGACCAGTGAGTTCCACAGAGCCTCCCAGCTCCAGCTCCCCAGTGCTGGGATTACAATCTCACACCACCATGCCTGGTTTCTTTTGCACGGGTTCTGGGGATGGAACACAGGTCCCTTTGTTTGCAAGGCCACTCTCTTCCAATCCCACCTAGCGTTTGAGTGAGTCCTGTGTATTCAAATGAGCCACCCAAGACTGCATATTCAAAAGTGCCATCCGATACTGTCCATTCAAGTAAACAAAATGCCCTCTTGACCTCAGGTTGGCCCCACATGAGGCTGGTTCCCACACTAATTTCTCACCCACATTTATACACAGACGTGGATTTCTTTTTAATCTCAGCTCAACTATTCCAGTACACTGTGTCTTATCTAGATGCCACAAAATTTCCATAACAGCAGAATTTACATACAGATGGCAAATAAAGAAAGCTTGCCTGTGGCTTGGGCTGCGCGGTTCTTATGGTCAGAGGGTCCTATTAGGGCTTTATGAACCTGCTCAGTGACAGAACCTTCTACATGATCTTACAGATTGATGCCATGCAAGCCAGCCAGGCTCCAAAGTGAAATTAATTCTCAACTGTTCCTCTGCAATGTGAAGGCACCAAAATTGAGTTTCTTCTGCATGCAATGCTAGAGATATTTCTCATTTCTCATTCACTTCACAAATGATACTCTCCTCTCCTCTCTCTCCTCTCTCCTCTGTGTGTGTGTGTGTGTGTGTGTGTGTGTGTGTGTGTGTGTGTCTCCCGCCCTCCCCCATCCATTTTCCTTAACACCATACAATTGCAATTAGCCTATGGGGCACAGACTGATTAGTACAGAGACTGCCACATGGAAGTCAGTCTGGGCAAGGAAGAAGGAGAGGCAGCTTCTACAGAGCAAGATGAACTGGGAAGACCAAGTCTGCAGCTCAGTTCGTGGCCTGATGTGTTGCAGCCCTGCTCCGTAGATGGGCAGTATGTGGGTGTGTCTTGCTCTGAACTGCAAACATCCACTCTTGAAAGCTCCGTGTAATGACGGAGAGGACAGGGGTTAGAGAGGTTGGTTTAAAACGAAACAAAGTGCTAGGGAATAGCAAACATTTTACTGATGAAGCTGTCCCCCCAGCCTCAGATTCTTACCCTTGATAAACCTGTGTGGTCCTTGTCTCTTGCCTAAGAAGCTCTTCCTTCCATTTGCATCCATCCCCTTTGCCTACCCTCAAATTCTGCTCATCCTTCAGGGCCTAGCTAGCTGTCCTGTGGTACATGCATACACACAGAGGGGAGGAGCAGAGAGGGAGGGAGGGAGAGAGAGAGAGAGAGGGAGGGAGGATGGAGGATGGGGGTGCTGACTTCTACTCTGGCTTCAATCTGATCATTCAGTGGAGACATCAAAAAAATGCCTGCTTTTGTAAATATGTTCTATTGAAACCCATCCCTCTCTGCTTTCAGGCCACAACAACAGAGCTGAGAAATCATCAGAGGGACAGAAGTCACCATTGAGCACTTTCTAGAATGTCTCCCAAACCCCAGCGGTCACCTCACTTGGGTCTCATGTGAGGGTCTCACTATGCTGGGCTCTGGGCCTGCAGACCTCTCAGTACTTGGCAACCCCACCATCCTTGCACTGAGACATGACAGAACCCCAGAATGACTCACAGTGACAGAGAGCTGTCCCCAGAAGGGCCCCAGATGCCTAAGAGTATCTGGGAAGGTCTGATACTTTCAGCACATACCTGATACATGGTCCCCCAACTCCCTTTTCTAAGGCATTCACCAAACCATAAACACCTATCTCTTATAGACCATAAATGTCTCTCTCAAGGACCCAAGAGCCATTTCTTTGAAATAGAATCCTCTGGAAAGACAGGGCTCTGTCTCCCAGGCTCTGGGGATGGCAGACCTCTAACTTAGTCACAGCCAGCCAGCAGATGAAACTGGTTCCTCATCCACACCGCCACCCCCTAGCCTGATGTCACTCTGCTTCAGTTGTCTTCTCTACCCCCCCAAAACTGGCCCTGCTCCCATCGGAATAGAAGTCAGCTCTTTGCTCTTGGTAATCAGTGAATAAAACCCATCCTCACCACCTTAACTGGAACCGAACACAGGAACCTCTGGCAAACACTGGACAGTGATCAAGCGGCCAGCTCCAATTCTAGCAGCCGACAGTTCGGGGTTCTCCAAGAGCCAATTCTCCTCCCATCTGGTGTCACTACTTACCGGAGAGTGAACTGGTCCGCCATGGAGCCACTGGTCAGAGACACCAAAAAGGTAGCCGTGTCCCCTTCTCGGATGAGGTTCAGAGGAATGGAGAGAGCCACATTGTCATCGAGGCTCACCAAGGACCACCGCAGGTCATCCTGGGTGGGGTAGACCACCACGCTGCCGATCCTCTCCCGGGCAGGGAGCAGGTGCTGAGGCTCCTCCTGCTCTGAGTGGATATTATTCTCCCATTTGCCCTCCTCCTCCAGTGGGCACTGACCAGCCTCGTTGGCTGGATACAGTGCAAAGAAGAGCTCCATGGCCGTGCCACCCAGTATCGCCGGGATCTCCTCCTCGGGTTCCAGGTCCAGACCTGAGCTGAACCACTCAGGCAACAACTCCAGCTCTGCCACACACAGCCCTGGGGCCCCCTGCAGCCGGCAGCTGGCTGCCACTTCCCTGGCCTCTGGAAAAGCAAACATCTTGACACAGGGGAGATCATCCCCAGGGTCGCTGTCATCCCAGCCCATGCCAGTGACGTAGAACAGGGTCTGCACTTTGGGTCTGTTGGAGAAGATGGAACTGTCGAGGATGTGGGATTTGAGCCTCCAGTTGAAAGGGAACCTCTCCATATTTCCGAAAGGGGTGGGTGCGAGCAGGAAGTCCCAGGGCACAGTCTTCTCCACAGAGAAGGGGCCGTAGCTGGCGTTGATTGCAGGAGGGCTCTGGGCTCGGTGGATGAAGAGTGTGGCCGACCGGGCCTGCAGGCTGGCGTTGCGCATGAGGTCCTGGTTTGCCTCCTTGAGGAAGAATGCCTCTTCGGCGTCAGAGACTTGGAAGCTAGCTGGGAGGTAGGCAGGCAGCGAAGAGAACCTCTGCAGGCTGTCTGCGACACCTCGACCTGTGCACTCTGCACAAGAAAGGAAAGCAGGGTCAGGGTCAAGGTCTGTTCCGACACATGAGGAAGTGGATGAATACAGCGCCATCTCTGCCCACCATCCCAGCGAGGTGCGCCATGGGCACACAGCCCTTCTCCTCCTCTCATCATGGAAAAAGTCAAAGAAGCCTAAGAGTCTTCCAGCAAAGCCCGGTGCAGAATGCAAAGTAGACCGACTGCCCAAAAATCCAACAGTTGCCTTTCCGGAAGAGAAATGTTAACTCTTCCCATCAAGGGAAGCAAGCATAGGGAATGAGTTAGAAGTCCAGAACGCCGCTTGGTTTGCTCTTCTAACAGTGCATTCAGCAGCTGCTTTCTGTGCTCATACAACCCTCTCGGAACAGTGCGCCCAGCAACCTTGGATTCCTATCTACTTGGGCTACACTTACACACCTCTCTGGATAATGGAATAGGCTTCTCTCCCCACAACAATGACCAAACTTAGTTCCTATTCAAATATCTTCCCAATACATCCAGGTATGGAAAATGGAAAGGACAATCTCTCCTGGGCCGGTTTGGAGTGCATACACAGTAAACCAAAATTGTATCCTGAAGTAAATTTGGAGGGAGACTCCCCCCCCCCCAGTTACCACCTTATGCCTATGTACATCTAGGAGCATGTAAAGATTAAAATCAGATGCATCATGGGAAGGGACATGCACACACAACTAAACCTGTATTATTTTTAACGTAGTATGTGATGTGTGTGATTGTATGTGCCATGGTGAACGCATGTGGAGGTCAGAGGATGACCTGCAGGAGTTGGTTCTCTCACCATATGGATCCTGGGATGGAACTAAGGTCTTCACACATAGCAGAAAGTGCCTTTACCCACTGAACTATCTCACCAGCCCTAAACCTCTCCTTTCTATATGTTACCCAGTCTCAGGTACTCTGTTATAGGAATTAAAGCAGACTATCACATATGACCCTATTAGGATAAAACTAAGATTTATATATAGTGTATGTGCATGTACTTATACCTATGTGTTTATGAAACTCAACAAAGATTTTCTTTTGCTATTTACTATTTATATTCCTACTTCCAGTGTGTTATAATAACCAAATATTATTCATTAAATCATGTAACCCACATGCAGAAACAGGCTGTGTGTGTACTATATGTTGTGTATGTGTGTACATGCACGCATATGTGTTTCTGTGTATGTGGTATGTGAACATATGTGTATGTTTATTATATATGTTCATGTGTATGTAGATATGTACACATATGCATATGTGTTTGTGGTATATAGGTGTGTGTGTGTTATTTAGGCTCCACATATGACTGAAAACATGGCATTTGTCTTTCCAAGTCTGAATTAGAATCACTTCAGCAGATGAAATTTAAATTAGGATTTGCTTGAGTATACTTTTTTTTTTGCCTCTCCAAACCAGAAAATTGAATCCCAGGTGCATGTTCTGATGGAGTAACTTCCACGGGACCACAGTGAACAGGAAAAAATGTTCCCCTTTGGAGGGACCACGAGGGCACCTGGCCCTCCTGTGGTTCCCGTTGTATCTTCTCCTAAAATGCAGGCAATGTCCAGAGCAGGGTTTAAATTCTAATTTATTTAGAAATGCGGAAGAGGAAATCAAAATAAACACACACTTCCACATGCTCCGTCTTCCTTGTAGATTGATTTATTCCTTTATCTTTCACGTCACTCAAAACATTGGCTCACGAGGAACCTAAAGCTGTTCTTTTCTCTGTTGTAGGCAAAGCCTCCATTTTACCAGACACATCCCTATGAGGACTCACTCCTGTCCACCATCAATCAAGCAAAATGTAATATAAGTTTTATCTCACCGTCTCTATGGGCATCCATAGACATCCACAGCTGAGCCCACATCCTCTCCTCCAACCAGATAGTAACCAAACATGCTATCTTGGTTTAGGAGCATCTATGAAACCCTGGGGCTGTCCTGGGACGCACTCCAGCCCTGGCCTGAGAAGCTAACATTCCTCCCTCCAGTTCCAAAATGTCATAGAGAAGTGCCATTGTTTTTCCTGCCTTCAGGGAGATGAGCCCGTGGGTGGACTACGATATGAGGCCCTGTTTTCTTCAGGAGCTTATTGCCATCGGAAGGCAGGAGACAGGCACTGAGAGCAGGAAATGAGGAAGGTTTCAGGGAGCTGGCAGAAAGGACTGCTCATCATGGCCTCCATGGGAGCCAAAAAGTCAAGCCCAGGTTCAGAGACAGCACAGGGTGTACCGGGAAGATGCCGTGGGTCCTGGTGCTCTGATGCAAAAGAGGCGAGTGCAGGTAGCTCTGAGGCAGTCCCAAAGAGAACTCGTGTTGCCGCAGAGGAGGGGATGAAGGAGCACCCATAATGAAGTAGCTAACGGGGTGCTGGGAGACCCAAAAGAGAATGGCTGCATGCCACGTGCTGTGATCAGCTACAAACACCTTCTGGACATGGGTCTCGGCCATGACTGGTAGGACCTGAAGCTGTGGACCCCAAAGCCAGACTTGCCTATAGCTGCGGTGATCCACAGACCTGGACAACTGTCTCTAGGAACACCACCACCAGCCCTATCCAGGAAACAACCGGCCAGCTGTGTGGCTGCAGGTTACCTGCGTGGACAGAGGTAGAGGGCGTTGCTGCAGCTGAGTCTCTCTTTCTCCACTTCCCACAGGCAGCACGGGCATGGAGAGCCAGGCACAGAAAGCTTTCTCTCCAGGGGCCCAGCCTGGCAGGTCCTTCCAAACCACCAGTAAGACAAACTCCTCACCAGTGTGTCCAGTGGTGACCCTCACCTTCTGTTGGTAACCCACCGGCACCCGAGTAGCCTGGGTGTAACTACACATGTACAAGTCTCATGGTCATGAAGACAAAACCGAGAAGGAGGTCTCTGTGAGCTCCAACATTAGTTCAGGGATGCAGGAAGCACAGTCTCTGAAGCCAGATTTGTTTTTCTCTTTTCCAAAAAGGATTCAAGTTAACATTGGTCAGAACACTACTGAGCACTGAGTGGGCACCGTGTGTATACTCATAACGTTGACTAGTCAGGGCAGAGACAGCCAGCCTTGTGAGCCAGTCTTGAAACATAAACCAGCTCATCCACTGAGTGTTAGAGGTGAGTGCATGTTACAGCAGCAAAAGCAAGATAAAATACAGAAAACTAAGGGCAAAGGAAATCAAAAATGCAATCACCATCACCACAATCATCAGCACCATCATCATCATCACCACCTCACCATCAGTGCCATTATCACCATCATCATCAACACCGCCATCATCAATACTGTCATAGGTATTGAAACTATCGCCATTATCGCCATCATAGGTCACTGAAACTCATATAGAGAATAAATGCCCAATGTGGATCTAACCAAGCAGTCAAACTTCAGGCAGAGTCTTGCCACCAACCACTCTTGGGCTGCCAGCAAGTAACTCCACCAGCCAACTGCACGCGGAAGGTAACCAAGCCGGCTCTTAAAAGCCCACACAGTCCGTGACACGAAAGCAAGAAGCTCAGTTCTTTCCATAGGACCTGGAGGGACACACCACAGCACTCACACAGTACACTGACCAGACTGAATTGGCGGTCCTTCGTGCAAGGCAAGCAACTCCACAGGGGACAAGGTCACTGGCCTTTCTGTCACCATGGCTCCCCAGTATCCCAAGGTATAATGTAGGCTCGCCTCTACTCTCACTCTGTATGGTGCTTTGAATAGAAATGTGCCCCCCAAAGATTCATGTGTTTGAATGTCTGGCCCGTAGGAATTGGCGCTATTAGGAGGCGGGGCCTTTTTGGAGTTAAGTGTGGCCTTGCTGGAGGAAGTGTGTCCTCTGACCCCCACACATGGGCCATGGCATGTGCACAGCACCCCTCCATCCACAATGACTTAATTAATTAAAAAGGAGAGTGAGCTGGGTCCCAGCATCCGTGTCTTTCTGCCTCCTAACCACAGATGCAACGTGACCAGCTGACTGAAGCTCCTGCCACCGTGCCTCCCTGCCCCCACGGCGGGCTGCACCATCGATTGCGAGCCAGAATAAACCTTCCCTGCCTATGGTTTCTCTTGTCATTTATTTTTGTCACAGCAATAAGAAAGCAAATAGCACACATGCCATCAGTGGCTCCTTGAGGTCTGGGCAGCTGTGGCCCCACTCCCAGAAGACCGCAAACCACGGGGCCCACGCTTAACGTAAACAGCTGCCGTTAGCCAGGAGGAAATCTGAGACGGATGACAGAAGCCGAGGGCCGTCAGGCCCACACGAAAGATTCCCATGGAGTAGCAGATGTAGAAAGGGCCTCATTAAGTGGGTTCTATAGATCTCCTCATGACAGTAGTTTTGGCCTCCTATAACACTGTCAGCTGCTAAGCAGTGGGATGTCTTCAGGACCTCATCCTAATCTCCATTGATATTTATTCTAAATCGGGCTCCTTGGAGGTATTTAAGGAAGAGAGACACGCTGGCTAAATGATCCTGACAGCCCTGCTGCTGTCTGGTTAGATGAGGCCCACAGGGGGTGGAGAGGTCCCTAGGCAGGAGGCGCTGTGCTACCTGTCACTCCCGTACATACTAAGACAGTCTCCCTCTGTGTCACTTCCACTCGCCGGCCATGAGGTGACCACGTTAAGCCACTTGCCATCACGCAAGTCTGTGGGAGTGTCACACAGGGAGACACTTAATTTGGACTTCTCGCTAACTGAAACAAGGCTCCCTCCCTTCATTTGTTCATTACTGAAATAAAAACTGATTGTTTGGGGGCTCAAAAGATGGCTCAGTGGTTAAGAACACTGGCTGCTCTTGCAGAGGACGTAGGCTCTGTTCCTAGCTCCCATATGGTGGCTCACAACTGTTCCAGGGGACCCAATGCCCTCTTCTGCCCTCCATGGGTATGGTGCAGATAAACCCACACAGGCACACATATACAGATACATAAAAAAGAGTAAGTAAATAAATTAGTAAATTTTTACATGGTATTTAAGGCTATTATGATTCTTGTCACACAAGC